TAGCCCAGGCTGGTCTCGAACTCACAGAGATCCGCCTGCTTCTGCCTCCCAAGTGCTGGGATTAAAGGCATGTACCACCATGGCCCAGCTTGAGTTCAATGTCTCCCACAGAGTTGTCCTCTGACCTCCACTTGCACTGGGGTCGCCAAGCAACCGCCTTATTCACTACCTTCTTGCTTAGATGCTTCGTGTACAACTCCCTAATTCCCCGGACATCTGAACTTCCACATTTAGTTCTGGTTAATCTCCGGAACTTAAAATAAGCATCCCTGGCATGCAGTAGGGAACATGTCCTTATTCACTCCTGTTTCTGAAGGCTAAGTGATGTTTAATTGGGAGACACAGTTATATAATTAGTTACGTCAGAAAGTTGAATCAAATTTGGGGAGACTAGAGAAGTTTTTGATGAAGGGAAATCCAGTAAGGAATATGAAAATAACTCCATTGTCTCGAGATGTTTTAGAAGTCCCAACACCTCTTGAGCAGGGACCCAGCATGTGTCCTTCATTCTTGTGGCTTCCCTCAGACTCTTTACTTCGTGCACCTCTTCACTTCAAAACACTGGTCTTGGGCACTTCTTCTTGATCTCTTGGTATCCAGGACTCTATACTTTTGCAAACAAAATGAGGAATTGTTTTCTAGAAAATTCTACTGTGATTTCTTGTCATAAAAAATGTTTGAGTATAGAGTACAAATGGCTAGACTCTACTATGCTCCTGAAATCAGCATGTTGTCACTACAGTACAGCCAATTCGCACTTAGAACAAAGTGAGATGTTTAGGGTGCAAAACCCAGTGTAAACTTCCTTGGGATCAGTGTTAGGGTAACAGGGATGGATGATGAATACTCTTGCTTTTGCAACTAAGTGGTCCAGGCCTTAAATTAGCCTACCTAGGACCCGGTTCTTAGCTCTGCTACCTTGGTCTCAGCTCTGTAATCAATTCATCATGGCCCAATAAAGTTTCTAGACTAGACTCCAATTGGACCAATATAGACTCTATGCTCTCCTCTGAGCTGATGGTTGTACTCAGAGAATGGAGTTTTATGGGTGAAGTTAGTCCTGAGGCAAAGATCTAACCTTTACTCTAGCTGTTGTGTGAGGTCACACTGATGTATGGAACTGTCACAAAAGGGTGAAGGTCCTTACCAAAGATCAGAGTGGAGGAGGTAATGGCTGAATGTTTGTAAATGAACAAAGTTCACTCAAGAAAACAATGTCTATCACTAAGAGAGTCAAAATCACAAATTAACCTCTCTACAGATAACACTTATAGGACCTGGGTGGAGTTAAAGAGGCCCGAGTGAGTCGGATGCTGAATCCAAGGGGCCAGGGAGAAACTTTCTCGAGGAGAAGTGCTGAGGAGGCCTGCATGAGCTAGATGACACGGGGCAGGCCAGCCATCAAGGGGAGGAAAGGTGTCCCGAATGGAAGAGACAGTGTGCAGTTCAGTACTTCCTTAGTAGGACACATTAACACATTGCCCGAGGCTGCATGGAACTGCAGTCAAGGGAGTGACATCATGACACGTAGATGGACAGGGGGACAGAGGCCAGGTCTTCAGAAGTATGACTCATCATAGGATAGGAGTGTCAGGAAGGAAGGCATCTTTTCCAGCTCACTCCTGTGAAGGCAGTATTCCAACTAATGCTTCGTATATGGGAGGCATGGGCATTCATGTCTGAGTGAATACTTGATAACTAGCTTCCATTCTAACTTTACTATAATGTACAGCTGCTGACGGAGCCTGCAAATGGCACTCACATGTATGATTTGTGTTATGAGAATCAAATGAAAGAATAGACCTGCAAGTGCTTTGTCACGTCGAAGCTTCTGGAGGCCAAGCAGA